GCGGGGGGGGCTGGGGAAAAAGCCGGCAGCCATTCCAAGAGGCAGCATCATTCATCTCCTCTCCTGAGCCCAGCACATCTCAGAACAGGAGAGCGGGTCCTGTCATGCCTCCCTGAGTCCCACGGTACCTCTGCACCCGCCCCGCTGCAGTCACAGCAGCCCCATCACAGCTCTGCCTCGCGCCAGCTGGCTGCGGTCCCTCTGCAGGCACACGCCGGTCGTGAACGGGGCATGAGCTGCTCCACTCCCCCCGCAGCGTCCCTACACCAAGGCTCGGGGGGAGGAAGAGACTTTCCACCGGCTGCCTCACGCGAGGGGAATTCTCAGCTGGCTGGTGAGAGGCCAGTGCTCAGCGTCACATGAGCAGCCCAGGACCTGGGCCTTGCTCCTGGGGGGGTTGACACCTGGGAGGTGTCTCAGCCCCAGAGTTTGTGGGGGACATGGTGCAAGGGGAAGGGAAGGCCTTTGGCTACGGAGAGGAGGGGCAGGTGAGACTCATGGGTGGGCTGGGCGTGTGGCTAGCGGGCAGCTGGGGCAGAGAGGGTTGCATTTGGGTGGCAGGGAGGAGAATGGGGTTTGTCTGCCCTCGTCCGGTGCATTGTGGCACCTGGCTCCCCTCACCCTCACCGCTCTCACCTGCTGCTCCGGAAGGTTCTTCTGCCCCCCAAAGGGCAGGGCGTACCCTGGCGGCCTCACAGCGCCCCCTGCAGAGCAGAGAGAAGAACGCTGCTGGGGCAGAGAGGGTTGCATTTGGGTGGCAGGGAGGAGAATGGGGTTTGTCTGCCCTCGTCCGGTGCATTGTGGCACCTGGCTCCCCTCACCCTCACCGCTCTCACCTGCTGCTCCGGAAGGTTCTTCTGCCCCCCAAAGGGCAGGGCGTACCCTGGCGGCCTCACAGCGCCCCCTGCAGAGCAGAGAGAAGAACGCTGCTCAGGGGCGCACGCCCTTCACATGACACCTGCCTCCTCTAATGGGGGCGTTTTTAATGCAACCGTTGGTGAGGTAAAGAGGGAGCAGCCCAGCTGGCTTCTTCACTGCGAGATGCTGCCACTGGAGCGACTGAGGCACACGCGGTCACTCTGCCGGGCACCGAAATCCTGTGTAGTCTTCTCTGAGCATTAGCAGGGCTAGGTGCCAGGCCCCTCTCTGGCACTAGCACGACCGCCTTTCTGACAGGGCGCGGGACCGTGCCACGCTCCCCCTCGGCCAACCCAACGCGCAGGGCCACGCGCCTCTTCCTGGGGTCCCCAAAACGCCAGCTTGGGATCCTCCTTTGCACCTGTGCCGAGCAAGGAGAGGCCTGGCTCCGCCCAGTGACGAAGGCAACGAGGTTGCAGAGGAGACAGGGAGGGCAAAATGTTCCCCACGTCTAACCAAGAGGCCTCCTACCATCTAGAGCACGGCACGGAAGTGCAGCCTCTCAGAGCTTCTGCTCCCTGCTTGCCCTCAGCACTACACGCGAGGGGCGGCAGGCACGTCGGGAACATCTACTCTTGGAGCATGCTAAAAATAGCACGTAGCCACGGCAGCAGGAGCGATGGAGGAGACACTAGCCACCCAAGTCATGGGCTAGCGGCTTGGCCACATACATCATTGGGGTGGCTAGCCCCTCGTCCTGTTCCCACTGCTGTGGCTAGCGCCTTCTCACTCTACTTTCAGGGTGCTAGTTCAGTCCAAATTAACACGGGGCAGTATCCTGGAGCTGGGAATCACACCCTCAGCTCCCTGTGTAGACAGACCCTTGGAGCCTCGGTCTTCCCTCTGCCGGACAAGGAACAGCCCCAAGAGGGCAAATCCAGGGTGACATGCTCTGCGCGCAAGAGGCACCAGGTTAAAACGTGAACCAGGTTCGCTCTCACGCCAGAGCTGGGCTCATATGAAAATGAGACCAAGGGTGTGAGCACCGTTTACCCAGACAAACGTCTCCGCAGAGAGGAAACACAGGAAGTCTCTGCAGACAGGCCAGGGTGCCCAAAAAGAAAACCTGTCGCCACAGTCATGGGCAGGCACGTTGGCAGAAAATCCAGTCGGAATAGAGGGGCGGGGCCGATCCTCCTCTGCCCTGCCTACTCCCCAGGATGGAGAGAAACCCCAGCGCTGCGCCCCAGCCCTGAATATCCCCACGTTCAGCATCCGAACACGCCAGTTCCACCTGAACTGTCCGGTACGTATGTCCCTCCCCGCACCTCCCAACAGGTTTTCCCCCCCTCCTCCCAGGAACAGTCACAGGTGGCCTAAAGGCAGCAGCATTCAGACAAGCTTACCTTGCGGCGGGTAGGTCTGAGGCGAAGGGGCGTTTGACATTTCTCCTGGAGAAAGGTTTGCCCCAGGGCTGACCCCTGTGGGGCGATGCTCTTGCCTGGGCTCAGGCGGCACAGAAGCTACGGCCTGCTCTGAGCCCTCCAACCTGGAATGTGCATCAGGCGGGAAGGACACGTTCGCCTGTAGACCTGGCTGGGACTGGCCTGTCCTCTCGGCAGCAGTGGGGTCATACGGCTGGTGTCCTGGGTTCTGCTGGTAGCCGGGGATCTGTGCAAACTCATGATGGAGATCTCTCTCTGGAAAACAGACCCCAGGTTTTTTGCTCAGGATAGGTACAGCTTTATTGAATGGCTCAGGGTCACAAGCTTCTCTTCGGTGTCCTTGTCCATGGAAAGTGAGCCGGAGAGAGCAAGAAAAGATCCAAGGGAGTTACAGTGGGTAAGGAGTGGGGTGTTGGTACAGGACAACTAACACAGAAGAGTTTTTATCATCTTAGCAGGGAGAGGGCGGTGGCGAGAGACAGGAGGGGGACTCATGAGGCCAACTGAGGGGCATGGGGAGAAGACAGAGTCTTCAGAAATTCAGAGGGTCCCACGGCCTCCTGTTCCCTCCTGCCTACACGTACTGAAAGGACTAAAGCTCACCAACAACGCTGCAGCTTTCTGGCTGCAGTTGTTAAACGCCAGCCCTCTCTCGGCCCCGTGGGGAGGTGGAGCAGGCCAGGGGGCTGGCAGGTGTCACCACTAAGAGACTGATCCACAGGCCCAACCCTGCAGATCCCTGGTCAGGCAGAAAGAAGATCACGCTCCTGAGGCTTGACTGAGCCCTGCCCCCCTCCACAACCCAACACCCTTTGTGGGGAGGGGGCGACTTCTAGAGTATGATGGAGAGAGTCCCAACAAGACCAGAGTCTTTGCTATCCCGGGAGAGCGACACAGAGGACCAGGGAAGGCAGTTTCCAGTCTGTGCCTAGCAGAGGCTCCCTTGCAAGCGGAGGATAAAGGCGGAGGACAGGAGACATGAATGCTCCGCTCTGAACAGGTACCAAAGTCTGGAACCTGCCGGTCTCCAATGAACCTGGCCATGCTCCATCTTCACACGCAGAATGGCCTAGAGCCACTAGGGTATGTAAACACCCAGCTCCCTTTGGTATTTAGGCCCCTACATCATGTATGTGAGGCCTGGGCCAGTGTGTCGGGTCCTTTACCTGCTGCGGATCCGCCGGCTGTGGAGCACGCTGGCTGAGCGGAAGGCGAGTCGGGGAGGTCTCCTTCTTTCTGAAAGGGTTCCAAAAGTGAACGGCCCAAAAGAAAGGGAAAGCGAGAGCTGTCTGCCGGGCGCCGGTAAGCGGGACGTAATTGTCACTGCCGTGAAGGCCACGCCGGCTCCTGGTGGAGCACGGCCACCTCGTGGACAGCGAGCTCTGTTTCTGAGCTTCCGGTCAGAGTCATTTACACCCAGGGGGCCGGGAGGACCTGCTCCGTGCCACCCACCCCACCTGCTTCTCACTCATCCCAAGCAAGGAGGCGCACTGAATCCTGGGGCTCCGTTCTCTCTTCTCCGGGAGCGACTCTGCTCCGCTGGAGGGCTGGGTCCCCCAGCGGATGAACAAGGACAGTGGGAACGGTGACCTCGGTGGGAAGGCTGGAGCTGTTCAGAACCACCTATCGGGCCTGAGTCACTTGGTGGAGTCACTGCTAGTTTCCACCCTTGGGAGGAGATCAGAATACGACCATTGTCCTTTTTAGAGGGGGCAGGCTGGGGAGCCACAGGGAGGGGAGAGAGACAAAACACGGGGACAGATATCTGGTCCCCTAGGGGGTGTCTACTCTGCACCGTTATTTCGAGACAACGAGCGTTATTTCAAAATAACAACGCGAGCGACTACACAGCCATTCCGTTCTTTCGAAATAATTTCGGAATAACGGGCGGCTTATTCCGAAATCCGTACATCTCATTCTACGAAGAATGTAGCTATTTCAAAATGAGGCGTGTGTCGATGCTCCACTGCCGCTATTTCGAAACAGCCCCTCCCCAGGGCCGTTCTAAGTTATTCCTCCCCAGTGCCTCCTGGGGCTCTAAATCGAGAGAGCACGTCGGCATTAGGGGAGCCTGCCTCAGACTAATTTTGAGGCTTCCCTGTAGTGTAGACGTGCTATTTCAAAATAAGCTATTTCGGAATAACTGTCACACGGCACATCCTGCTTTGCCCATCCCAAAGGGCTGCGGCAATCATGAAACATGATGGAAGGACCTTCCCCCACCCCCTCCACTCCCATCAAACTCACCTCCCACTGCTGGCCTAGGGCTCGGAGCTGGATGAGCCAGTCTGGTTCCAGGTTCTGTTCCCGCTCGGGTCTTTCCAGAAGCAATGGGTCAGAGAGTTTCAGCTGCTCTGCGAGCTGTGCAGTGGTAGGGAACAGATGCTTAAGCATGTTAACCTCTGGGATGCAGAGTGCACAGATTGAGAGCCGTAGCCATTAACGAGGTGCTAGGTCCACGGACCAGGGAAAAGCTATTCACGAGTGCAGCATTTCCTCATAATGAATACATAAGACTAGCACACGGCATTTATACAGCACCTTTATTATTTCTATTGCAGTAACATCTAGAGGCCCCAGAACTGCTCTGCTAGGTGCTGTACAAACAGCTGACCTGCCCTCAGAGGATCTCAAAGGACTTTACTGACCCCACCTCTGTGAGCTAGGTCACTACCGTGAATCTCATTTTCCAAGTGGGTAAACTGAGGCACAAAGCGATCAGTGTGACTCTGCCAAGCTCACACAGTTATCCATTGGTGGGATCAGAGAGATCCCAAATTTCCTGGCTTCCACTCCTGGGCTCTAGCCACATAACTTCTGTGAGAGGGAGAGGGAGTGTTTGCAATGGCTAGAACACAGGTGTGCGAGTCAGGCTTCATGGCTTCCACTCCTTGCTCTGCCACCGACTCACTGCATGGCCTTGAGCATGACTCTGCAACTGACCAACTCATAAAAACTGCTCCATAGAAGGTGACAGAGACACACTTTAACAGACAAAGAAAAGGGAAAATTCCCGGCGCACGAGCAAACGGAACTATCTGGGAAAAGCTGTCCGGGTTGACAGGGTCAGCTCACATTGGATACAGACATGGGCTCATTCTAAACCAACACCGAGAGAAAAGAAATTAAAAGTGTGATTATTCCTAAATGGGAGGGTGTTTAATCCAAAAGCTAATATGTGCTTTGATCCAGAATTAGTGAACAAACACCTGGTTGTCAGTCATCCCTGCTTCAAAGGAAGGGAAGTCTTAATCAAATACTAACGCGGATCATAATTTGCAACACAATCTGCAACATCAAAGACGAGAGAGGGGCTATGGCCGTGCTGGTTTTTCATCTAAAAGCCCGTTCTCCCAGGAGAAGTGTTATTCCCAGCAGCCCGGCCCATCTGCAAGACTCTTAGAGTAATTAGGTTTCCACAACAGGTGGATCTGGGTAAGCGCTGTAACATTATGTAAATCGAGGGTTAGGGCTGGTGTGACGGGGATTTTCATAGCCCCTGCCTCAGGTGTGCGTTACCTAAGCATTCTTCCTGTCTCCCTTTAATCTGCTCTGTGGCAACCACAAGCTGCATCTCAGGGGAGATCCTTTGGAGTGTATCGTTCCCAGAGCTCCACACAATGGCGCCTTAGAAGGAAACAGGACTCAAAGGCAGATGAATGGGATTGATGATGCCTCACGGTCGTGCTGCAGAAAGGGGGGTGAGGCAGTCTAGTAGCTTGTGCACTGCACAAGCATGCTAAGGACTCGAGGTTTAGCCCTGGCCCGACACGTTACTTCCCCAGCTGGGAAGTGGGTACAATGAGACTGACCTCCTTTGTCGAGCGCTTTGAGATCGACTGATGAAAACCTCTAGGTCAGAGCGCGGTGCTGCTGCTCATTCTTCTGGCTTTGGGGGACAAAGGGGTGGGCTTGGTTTTCTAACTCCATCCCACACCAGCCAGAATGGGACGTGTTCTGGTTTAAAAGAAAGACCCTTGCCTACTTTAATCGCGCCAGCAGCTGCGCAAATTGCAACACCTTACTGCAAAATAACAATATGCAGCTCTGACAACCAGGAACACGCCTCAAACCCGGCAGTTGCGGGGAGATTGTGATTCCAGGTGGCATGTTCCTTCTAAGGCACGTCAAACCAGTTCTCATAATGAATAGCTCCGGAGCTGGCTATGGGCCACACACAACCGTCCTCAGAATCAGCTGCCACACCTGAGTTTGCAACAGACTGCACAAACATTATCCCGGAATGATGCATTCCAGAGGAAAACATCAAGAACCTCTTTAACACAGATTTCAGCATCAGAAGTAGGGATGTTAAATATCGGTTAATTGACTAGGCAATTAACCTCATGAATTCTTATCGGTTACTTGACTATTCTAAAGTACCCGGGGGGTGGGGCCAGCAGCCGGGGGCTCCGGCCCCACTCCTGAGGAGCCCCCTGCCACTCTGCGCTGCTGCCTCTGTATCAGAGGCAGCAGCGTGGGCTGCCCAGCAGGAGTTGGTCTGCGAGGGGAGCCAGTTTAAAAAACAACTCCCCTCACAGACCGGCTGCCTGTTGCCCTATGTTGCTGCCTCTGATAGAGAGGCAGCAGCCCGGGGTGGCAGCATCTCCTGTCCGGAGAGGATCTGAGCTCCCGGACCTGGCGCAAGCCAGGACTGAGCCAGACTGCCTGCCTGCCGGGCTCCTAATACATTTTAAATGCCGCGTCGCAGCGGGGGTAGGTTCCAGACCTGTTGCAAGCCAGGACTGAGCCGGGCTACTAGCCAGCCTGCTAAAAAATGTACTGGCGGTGAGGAGGGGGAGAAACGTGTGTAGTCTATAGCATTGACCGATAAGCTTTTGCTAATCCATTAATCAATTGCACTATTACATCCCTAGTCAGAAGTCCCCACCATTTTCCAACTTGGTAGAAACTTCACAGTGTGAGTTCCTTCTGCTGCAGCGCTGTGTCCTTTCCTCCCCTCCCCCTTCCTCTGCCCTTTATTTGACATTCGACTTGGCTCCTGCATCCCTGTTTCAGCACCGTTGGCCAGGCCTGCGCATATCTCATTTAGGCAGCTGCTGCAGAAGAATTACCAGGGGCAGCCAGATAGCACAGCCGACCGCATCCTGAAGGACTCACATCGGCGCTGGGTTGAGCTTAGTTGTCACCCGCCAGCCAGGGCCGACTTATCCATTAGGCACAGCAGGCACAGTGCCTAGGGACCACGATACTTTTAGGGGCCTACAAAAATGTTTTAATTTCTTTTAAAATCAGAAGAAAAAAAATGAACGCTTAGGGTAGAAGAAAGTGTTTTAATTTTTTCTCACATCAGAAAAAAATGAAACTTTTAGGGCCCACGACAATCTATTACATTTTGCCTAAAACAGAAAAAAAATGTTGAAGTATTTAAAGTTATATCAAAAATAATTTTTAATATTGATATTATTATGGTGGGAGGGGCCCACGAAAGCAGAAGTGGCCCACGAAAGTCATCATGCGGCCCTGCCGCCAGCAAATAGAGGCTGGGGGTTGATTTTCAGAAAAGCTGAGCTCTTGTGGGCCCAACCCATGTTCCTCGCAAGAGAAGGCTTGATTGTGAGTAAAACACAGGCCGAGGCAGCTTGACAGCATCCCTGAAACCCTGGCCTCACATAAACGAAGAGCAAAACTCCCAACAGGACCGGGACTTCACCAATTATACATTTCAGTTAACTCTCCCACCCGTAGCCGAAGCCACGCCGTAGCTGGTTATGAGAGACGCACCTTGATAACCTGGTCTAGCAGCACCGGGTGGCGGGCCTGGGTCTGGTCTAGCAGAGCTGTGCCGATCCCTTCACAGTAATGCAAGGCCTGGGAGGTGAGACCGTAGTCCGCCAGGCGTGACGCATAAAGGAGTTTATACACCTTGGGAAAGGAAGGAGAAAAATGAGCGTTCGAGGGGGGAAGAGGAAAAAGAAGGAAAAAGCAGCCCAGCGGCTCAGACGGTGAGGTCCCCAGACAGCCCAGCTGGAGGTGTGTGACTCATGTAATGGACAGTGCACAGAACTGTGAGTCGGGAGATGCAGGGGCAAATCTTGGCTCTGTGCCCCTTCCCTCTCTGTGCCTGTTTCCCCTTTGCCCGTCTTCTCTGTTTAGACTTTGGGACACGGACTTTCTCTCTCCCTAGACATCTGCGCTGCCCCTGGCCTCGCGGTGGGGGCGCCTCTCAGTGCTCGGACAATGCAATTCCAACGTACTGTCCAGCCCCGTCATGGCATGTTGGAATGCCGCATGAACACATCCGCTTAGAAAGACACAGAATAGACAGGCTCCAGTCCTAGGTGCAGTGAGACTGATTCTGATCTGTAAGGAGCGTTTGTCCATCTCACAAAACCACCATCCACTGTGGCAGGCTTGCTGGTTCGCCCTTGCCCACTCCCCCCACCCCGCCCTCGGGCCTCCAGCTGGAATTGCAGTGGGGCTGGGTTTGAAGTCCCAGGAGAGATGGGCCAGCAGATCGGTAGGGGAGGACCCTCACCAGAAATATAGATTGATTCACCTGGGTTGGGCAGCGCTCAAGGCTTGTGCACAATGTTAAAAGTACAGCAGCTATGAGTGGCTCTCAGAGAAAGGAAAGCCAGGCAAAAACTCTGCCCCGAAACTCACAAGACACATGCTCTGCTGAGCTGTGAAGGGGAGTGCATTCAAAAGACCCTCCCCTGAGGAAGCTCTGCCAGGCCCAGGGAGGGCCTGATCTCTGACTGCTCTGCATCGGTGCCAAGTGCGCATCCGTCACAGTTCTGCTCGGCACGGGACGCGAGCCCTCCAGCTCGGTTTCAAGGGCAGCCCCTTGCCAAGCACATGGCAGGGAGTCTGGCTGGAAGGTGACTCTTTGCAGGTTTGCATTAGAAAGGAAGAGCCGCAGCCTCCCAGGTTGCTGGATGATAAAAGAGACGGAGCACATCTGGACCATGCAGAGCCCTATGGCTGAGAATCACCAAGGACAAGTGCTTTTTTGGTTTAAAAAAAAAACAAAAACGGTGCCAGTACTCCAGGGGAAAAGTTGTTGAGAAAAAAAAAAAAAGCCGGTGTGGGGCCAGCATTGCCCTTTTAAGAGACATGACCCCTTTAAGACAACTGTTGAACATTTGCGTACAGAAATGCCGGTACGCTACGTTTTTTCCAGAGGTAAGGAGGTGCCGGTACTGTGTACCGGGCAGTACTGTCACAAAAAAAGCACTGCCTTGGACAAAAGCAGCCAGCCCGCCCCTCACTTCATGAGCCCTGGCTTTATGTGTGAGCCACTTTAGTAAAACTGGTAGGAAAAAAACCCGACACAGGTGGAAACCAGAGGAATTTGGCCACCCTGCACGCGGGCTGAGAGATACAAAATGTCTTGTAGGCCACACATAGAACCCCAATCGGCCACAAGTTACCCAGCACCATGTTAGGTGGATGAACATCTGTTTTCCTCCAGGCCACGGATCGCTCTGGGGATCAGGCAGGAGACAGGAGTCTGGGTGTCTACAGTGAAGCCACAAGCTTGGAAGGCAGAAACAAATTTAGGCCCCGAGTGAGTTTTAGGCACCCACAGTATTCAGCAGCTTTGAGTAGGGCTTTTGTGGGTCACAGCAGGGTGTAAAAATGGGTCTTAGGCGCCTCAATCTGAGGATTAGGTTCCTAAATCCCATTGTGGATCTGGACATGGGGCCTTTGGCTTTTTATAGTTCCGTTCATCCTGACCACTTTACAAATCCTACAGAAAGTCTCACAACCCCACAGCGACACAGGTGAGAGTTAGCACACTCCTTAGACAGATGGGGAAACTGAGGCACAGAGCAATTCCAGTCCCTTATTCTGGTGGATAGGGGACGCTGGCCATCAACACAGCCATGCGCAGTACCGAGGAATGGAATAGCAGGGCACCTTTCGGGTGAGCGCTGAGATGCACTGGCAGAGGAAGAGTAGGATTGAAGTAACAAGGACACAGAAGGGCTGGCATTGACATGTGCTGGCAGGACTGGCTGAGGAAGCCCGTGTGGTGCCCATGATAATACATCCTACACTCTCACAAGTTCCCAGATTCATTATACAGAGGGGATGAAAATCACCCCTCACCCTCGAGACATTGTCCTGAGCTGTCTACCGTGGGGGAGAATACACACAGCCATACCCAGCCCAGCCAGCGAGAGGGGAAACTGAGGACGGTGCTTAGCCAGGAGATGGAGGAAGAAGAAAAGAGAAGAATTCACTCGGTAAATAACACTAGGGGAAGAGAGGCATGCAGGAGAGCAGAGTTTAGGGGCCATTTGAATGCAGAACATAAGGTGACGCCGTAGTCCGTGGCAAGGGGCATTTCAGAAATGCATTCGGTTGTGATTTGTGCAGAGAGGTGACGTTACAGCACAGTGAGCGCCGGTGACTCTAAGCATCTAAGGCCCTGGCCGTACCTGACAGATTCCATTACCTGGAAGGAGGGGATGAAGGATTTGGGGTGTCGCAGCGTTTGACAATACTCGAAGATTTCCATCCTCAGGATAGACTCTGTCGTGGCAAACCGTGCAAAGGGCTGGCTGAAAGGAGAAGGCCGAGAGGTGAGCTCCGGGACAGAAGGCAAGACTCTTGCTCTCCATGAATAGCCTGCGTGGCTGGGATACCGAGTGTCCGTCCCGCACCCAGCCAACCTTCAGCATGATAAACTGACTCGGCGCAGAAGTGGAACTGATTAATGCTACAGCCAGTCAAATCCCGTCTTAGAAAGCAGGGAGGCACCGAACCCGGCCACACAAACCCCCTCCCCACCCACACGGCAGCAAAAAAACACTGCAGCATTAATATGCATTTACTATAAGCCCCTGAGCATGCTCTAAGGATGTGACGTGGTGTTTGTAAATGGGGCAGTGCTGAAAAAGGAACAAACAGCATAAAAGGCAAAAAGCAGAGTCGGTTAAAACCCCTTCGTTGTGAGCAGTCTGGCGTGCTAGTAACGTGGCAGGAATTTTTTAGGGAGATTTCTGGCTGGGCCCTCAGGGAGGCGGGCTGCCTTGAACTCTGGAAACGCCAGCCCTTAAGAAACAATGGTGTCTCTATAGGGCAAACTACTGCACTCAGCGAGTGGGGATTCTGTGAGGCACCCCCGAGGACTATGGGCCTGCTTTCCACATGGCCATTTGCCACTGGGCACAGTGACTGGCCAATGTGGGGAGGGGTAGCTCAGTGGTTTGAGCATTGGTCTGCTAAACCCAAGGTTGTGAGTTCAATCCTACAGAGTTGTGAATTTAACTAGGAATCAGGGGCAAATCTGCCAGGGATGGTATTTGGTCCTGCCATGAAGGCAGGGGACTGGACTCAATGACATTTCAAGGTCCCTTCCAGCTCTGTGAGATGGGCAGCTGTTTACATCCACTTTGCCCAGATGCAAAGGCTGATGCTGGCACTCAGACCCCACTGTGATATGGGGCTGCTGAGCAGTGACCTTCATTGGAAGATACAGAGCTTCTCCAAAGGAAGCAGGTGGAGGCACCCAACTGTAGTCACCGCCCTGGGCAGGCAGGTTTTCAGAACCAGGAGGGACCCTGTAGAACTAGAGCCACAGTGCCATCCAGTGGGCAGTCTAGGGAATGGCAGGGGGGGGGTTCTCCCCAGCTGACACCCTAATCACCTGAGGAAGTGGGTTTTACCCCTGATGACCTAATAAATCTGTTGGCCTCTAAGGGTGCAACAGGACTGCTCCTTGTTTCCACCAGTTCCTGACTGATATTTGTGGGCGGGAGCGCATGTTCCCTCTAATCTTTCCCACCTATTTGTGGATTTTTTCCACCCATGTGCAGAATAAATTTTGTGCACCAAGGCATGTGCGAATGTGCACCACGAGTAGAAACACAAAACCTAGCTGTGGGCGCTCTGCCAACCAGCTGGGCAGCATTGGAATCTCTAGAGTGCCCAACTTACAGGGAATGCTGGCGGGGGGTATGTATGTTATGGGGCTTGGGGCTTGGAGGGCAGGGGAGGAGCACAGAGGCAAATGTTCACGGGTGTTAGAACATCTCCTCACACTATCACACGCACTGTTGCCCACACACCGCTCGGCCCTCACGCACTGCACACTGCTGCTGCCTGGATGCTGTGCTGCTTCAAAGCATGGTCCATAGGTGACCTAGGCCCTACACTTTGGGGAACCCCACAGCAGCCACCTCAGCTGTCCTATGGATGGGACCCACAGGGCCCAGGGTGGCTTGGGAGATTATCTGGGGGGCCTGGTGCAAGGTGGCAGCAGAGGTCGAGTTGCTCCGGCTCCCGTACACAGCGCAGTGGCTGGAGCCGGAGCAAGTCGGCAGCCTGGTCTGTTCCATCTCCCAGCCTGCTGTGTTCCGTTTCATCGTGGCGGCCTGGGCACTCGGCTTCCCTCCGCTGCCTGGAGCAGTGGGGACGGGGCGGAGCAAGCTGCCGGCTCGCTCCGGAGCCTGCTGCTGTGGTGAGCACAGAAGGGTGGGGGTAATCCCTGCTGCCCACACCCTTGGCTCCGCCCTTTCTCCTGAGGCCCCGCCCCTTCTGGGGCAACCTCCCACACCTTGCCCTAGGCCCACAGTGGCTCTCAGCCCCGCTGTTCATGGCTGCAGAGCCACTGAAATGTCACCCACCCACCACCCGTCCATTCAGCCGAGTGGCCCAAATGTCAGTCGGTGGCGTTGCGACTGGGCACACGGGGCGGCCGTCCCTGGTGTGCTCAACTCCTGGTGTGCCGGCTCGGGTGCTGTGTGGGTAAGAGAGCAGGGCAACTTGCCAGCCGAGGGAGACCCAGGGTCCCTGTGGGGGGGGGGGGAATGGGCAGGGGATGGAACTGGGTCAATGATGCTGCGGGGGGGAAAAGGACTGGAATTTGCCCTCCCTCCCCGAAATCTCTGAATTGGCCCCATTGATGGCACCGTTCCCAATACACCTGTGGCCATTAGCCCAGTGTGCCGCTCTGTGGCAAGGTTAGCAGGGTGCACCGGGGTCTGTGTCTGCCTGCCAAACTATAAACTAGGTCTCCTTGGGAGGAGCATTAGTTCCTGCCTGTAAAGTCCTTGCTGTTCTGCCGCCTAGGCATGACGGCCATAAATACCTGCAGGAGCCCCCCGCCTGCTCCGATGACTCACCTGGGGTCACTGCCCAGCAAGGCCATGCGGTCTGTCTTAACCCCGTAGTGACCAAAAGGAACATTGGCCATCAGAAAACAGAAGTGAGCCGCTTCTATTAACCCTCTCCCAGCTGGACAGGGAGAAAAGAGACAAAAGCCAGTCACAACACAAATACTGCCAAATGCACACATGGCAAAACAGCTGTTCCTTCGCCCCACCCTGACCCTCCAGGGCCCCCAGCCCCCCAGCAAGCCCCTCATCCTTTTTGCTACTAATCAAGTTTCATGTTCAATTGGATGACCTGACTGGACAGCAGCAGCATGTGCCTTCAAGTGTCTGGCTCCTGTTTCGTTTCACGAGGAAATTTCAAGGTAGCAAAATCTGTATGCCTTCAAGTGTCTGGCTCCTGTTTCGCTTCACAAGGAAATTTCAGGGTAGCAAAATCTGTGGCGAGACTTTCTACCATTAACGCCACCTAACTAGCTCTAAAAATAAGCCAAGTGAGTCCCCTCCTCTGTCCCCCACACCTGTGACCCATGCACGAAGGCAGCAGGGATGTTCTCGACACACACACACACACACATAAATTACACTGCCAAGGACCATGTCAAGGCAGCCAGACACACACAGATGTCTGGGCAGGGGGATGCAAGCAGATATACACGCTTGGGTGGAACTACACAGACACACAGTTCCAGTTACACCCACTCGCTTGGGTGGAACTACACAGACACACAGTCCCTGGTACACACACCACACAATGACATGGAAAGGTGCAGACGCACAATCTCGTCGAGGCTCACAAACATCCACACACGTGTTCCCCACAGCTTACATAGCCCTGGGTGCTGCCAAGGCATCTTAAGTCACTTCAATAGAAGCTGTGCAGTGATTTAATAACTCAGTCATGGAGCGGAGCTAAAGAGGGAAATAAAGGATAGTTCAGCTTGGACGCACAGGTGATGCATGGGGAGGGTATGTGGGGGTCATGTGTCTCCCTAGATTGTCACATGCACCCTAGATTTTAATTACTGAAGGTGGACGCCCTCACTTCCCCCCCACCCCAGTCCCTCCTGCCCTGCAGACATTGGTCACCTCTGCTTGGAAGCAAAGATTGAAGCAGCAGGGCAGGGAATTCAGCTACCCCAGTCCCCCAAAATGATCTATGCAAGGGCTGGTGACACCAGTGGCTGGCATCTGATGGCTCTGGGGTGAGCAGGTGGCCAGGAGCTCTGTGAATATACACAAGTGGCCCCTACTCATAGCTCCTGCCGGGTGGGCACTGACACCACCAATTCCCAGACTCACACCCAGGCGGGCCAAGAGAGCGGAGCGGAGAGCCAGCCGTCCCACCACTCCTTGGTGGGCTCAGCTGACGCTGCGGGCACCTTGCCGGCCACCTCTTCTCACACGGCCTCTCTCAGCCCCATAGGTCGGGGGTGGGGCCATACACATACAGAAGAATTAAAGCCCTGAACTAGGCTCGTGTAAGAGACACGCCTGGGCCGGCAGCAGCTGTTTGCTCAGCGTCCCGGCAAGGCCCTTTTCTCATTTAGCATGCATCTGACGAAGTGGGTCTTTGCCCACGAAAGCTTATGCTCCAACACTTCAGTTAGTCTATAAGGCGCCACAGGACTCCGCGCTGCTTTCTCATTTAGGAGTCTAACTTCAGCCACCCACCTGTGCCTCCCGGGTGGCCTCTGACTATCCAAGTGTCTATTTGGTGGCAAAACAGTGCCTTGGGCAAACCTGTATTTTGGTGCCCTTGCCTCCGCTGCCTCCTCAGGCTTCCCAGCCCTACCAGGACCTCTGGGCCCTGCTCCCTCTACCCGCATGGCCCTGAGTTCCCTTCTGCAGCCTCACCCGCCCCCCATGTCCTGGCCTCTTTACCATGACCACACACTCGCCGAGCACGGTGCCTGGACAGTCACCCTTGTCGCTCCCCCGTAAAACCAGCCCTATTCCCAAGGGGCCCAGCAGTGTGAGGCCGTGAAGACGATGTGGATGGCTCTACAGAGGGGACAGAACCCGAGACTAAACTTATTTCCGTCGGGGTGGTTTTGAACCCACTTAAGTCCCCATCCTCCCATCTCCTGTAATGGAGGACGCTAAAAGTCTGAGGCCCATCTGACGCGCGGTGCGAGCCACTCAGCCGGGACCACTCCCGGCCTCTCCTCACCCAAGGTGTCTCCCATGGCGACGATGGCCCGGTGGTTCAGCTCAGTGTCTCCAACCTGGTTGGACAGCATCACGGCCAGGTGTGGTCTCCAGTCTCCCCACCTGGCATCCCCGCAGCACTGGGAGCAGAAACAAAGAAAGAGGGAGGGATCGTTCGGCCGCTTTCGCTTCTCGGCCGACATAGGCGCAGAACTATGAGGACGTCACAAGGGAAGGGAGGCTGTCTGGGGATAAAGCGACAAGGTGCGTCGGCCTCCACGCCAAACAGCTGCGCCGGGCCTCCTCATGTGCTCTGCATTCCCCGTCAGCCTGAGCATCCCACGTCCCCCCCAAATTCCAGCCCCTGTGCGCTTTCATGCCTCCCCAGAGATCTTGCACAAGACAGTTCCATGCCTCCCCCACCCTGTGATCCCGCTGCCACGTAATCCTATGGAGCGTGCTAGGTTCTTACCCAGCATCGCCTCTGTCTCAGATTCCTACAGAGGAATGTCACCGTGTGGGTGCTAGCAGGGGTCACTGGTTATACGGGGGCCGCCACCCGTCCCATATTCACAGGACAGCCCCCTTCCCACAAGTGTGTCTTGTCTCTGGGAGCCACCCAGGTACAAATGCCCCCTCTCCACTGTGCTGCCTCGTGCCAGTGATAATACTGGGTCGCCGTGAAAAATGGCCAATTCCTTTGCTGTTCGCTGCCGTGGACAGACTAAAGGACAGATCGGTGATTCTGAGACGGCGGTCTATGAAGCAGTGCCGAGGGCCCCGGAGCCCTGCTCTCCTGCCCTTCCCCACCACAAGGTGCCAAAGGAGCCGGACGCTTTCCCATTCAGTACCAGGGCTGCCTGAGGTATCCTTCCGGACATGAGCTGGAAGAGAGTCTGCAGGGGGTCGTTGAGAGCTAGCGTGCTGGTGAACCTGCAAACCAAGAACAGAGACACAGCCAGTGGGCTAGCAGAAAGGAAGGAGGGTCTAGTGGTTAGAGCATTTGCCTAGGGCGCAGCTTAGTGTGGGCTCGACTCCCTGCCTGCCTAGATTTCCTCTGTGACCGCAGGCAATTTGAGCCTCTCTGTGTGTGGATAACGCTTCCCTGCTTTACAGGGCTGTTATGAAGCTAAATATATTAATGTTAGTGAGGCCTGCAGACTGGCGGCCTGGGGAGTCAAACTCGCCACCCCCCATCTCCAAGGTAAGGAGAGACAACAGGTTGTGTGAGGCCTGGGCACAGTGGGAGGTGAGGCAATTGTGAAGGGCAGGGGAGGTGGCCAATCACAGGGAGGCTTCTTGTGTACTGGCACCTCCTACCCACCCAGTCAGAACCCAGCTGTAGGTCCGCAGATCCATCTTGCTGGACAGGAACAGGGCATGACCCCACAGCTGGCTTCTCATGGCCCAGTCCAGCGCTTCCTGCAGCCAGGAGACAAAAAAGCAGCCTGATACTGGGTCTCCCTCACACCGCTCTGACTTTCTGAGACCCCGATTCCCCTGGCCTAGGGCTTCCCATCACATGCAAGGTTTACAGTGAGGTTCAATGGCTCTCGGCATCCCCACTATACAAACTGTCCCAGCTAGGATTGCCAGGTGTCCGGTTTTTGCCCTGACAGTCTGGAAATCGCGTCTTCTGTCCGGTAAAAAAAACAGAAAATACATGTCTAGTATTTTCTGTTTCTCTTGGACGGAAGGCTGGCGGGGCCATTTTTCCCTTCCGCATCTGGCAGAGGTGGGGGGAAGCGGAGAGTGCAAGAATTTAAAGGTGCAGCATCCTTTTTTTTTTTTTTTTCTCAACAAGTTTGGTGCCTGTTTTTTCCCCTGTCCTGTTCGGGATTTTTTGTGAAGGTATCTGGCAAGCCTAGTCCCAGCACCCTGCCATGTCCACGAGACAACAACTTGGTTAAGGTTTAGCTGTCATGCTGGTTACGACAGCAAGACTCCTGCAATTGCTAGCACAACTGAGACACATTTTTGCCCTAATGCATTTTCAGGGTTGAATCCAGGAACAGGGACCATCTTCAGCCTCTGCCGCCCACAAGATCCCCCTTGTAAAGACTAGCCAGTGGTAGAATGGACCAAGGGAGCGTAAACTCTGCACTACAATCAGAGCTAGACCCAGGCCTGATCCTTTGACTCGCCGAGCCAATGAGAGTTACAGGAGCACTGTGGAGGTCTCTCTGCCAGCACCAATGGGAATTACGAGGGCTGCAAAAGCGGGGCTTGTGAACTTGCAGGACCAACACTTTTCTCTGCAGACCGAGAGCAGCAGGGAGTCAATGGCTCTGGAGACAGGTGGGCATGCATGCTACCTACTTTCTTTCTGCCATAGAAGAGAAGCTTGGTGAACTTTTCCACTTTCTGCGCTGGTGTCTCCATGCTGGGTGGTATCTCCCCAGTGAGGAGGTCTGGTGTCCCGGGGCTTGTGAACTTGCAGGACCAACACTTTTCTCTGCAGACCGAGAGCAGCAGGGAGTCAATGGCTCTGGAGACAGGTGGGCATGCATGCTACCTACTTTCTTTCTGCCATAGAAGAGAAGCTTGGTGAACTTTTCCACTTTCTGCGCTGGTGTCTCCATGCTGGGTGGTATCTCCCCAGTGAGGAGGTCTGGTGTCCCGGAGCCCTGCACGGGCCACTCTTCATCGGTCAGATTGATCAAGTTGGATACTGGGTCTTGCCTTTTATACTTCTCCCGGCGCTTGCAGTCTTGCATCAGCAGCTCGGCTGTGTCTGAGCCCACCATGGACTGCACGGGGAAATGAAGGAACATGAGAACTAGCATGTTAGCCCCAATCAGGAACCCATCTAGTCCGGTATCCAGCCTCAGCCAGTGGCCAACACTGCATAATATGGAGGTAGCTATAAATCCCCCCAAATGCACCGTGCCAAATATAACCATACTATGGGGAGTAATTCCTTCCTGACCCATCAGTCCTGATCAGTCTGTGCCCTGAAGCATGAGGGTTGGTGGCATATGATTTTTATCCTAGTGAGTACCCTGGAAAAGATTCTATTCTAAATCCCATATCCACAGTGTTAGTGGAGAGAAAGTCAAGGCAAGGAATCATCCACAATGAGCATAACAGCAAAAGCCCAACTTTAGTGAACTCAGTGACCTGGTCCTGGTTCCCCCTAACATTCAGTGGCAGATCTGCCTCGGACTGGGTTGAATACACCAGTCTCCTTCTGGACACAAATGCTGGTTCCTAAAGTATGTTTCAGTGCCCCTTTAAGTGCTGCTGAAACATTGGTATTTCAAAGGTGATGGACCTGGTTTGGGAAGGAGTCCTGGAGAGAAATCTTCCATGTCCCTGGTGCGCTGGGCCACACTAAAGTGATCAGCATTAATGGGAGGGGTGGGGGGGTGTAAGCTGCAGTTATTTATTCCCGACCGACAGCACATGGCTGCTTCCAATTTACAAAGGGACTCTTACAAGGAGCCATCCCGAACTGACCCAAAAGGACTGAAAGGGACTGGCGCGCATCACAGCGCCGAACAGACACACACCCCGTTCTGCCGGCAAAGGAGCACCAAGAGTTTCCAGAGCAGGGCTGAGTCTCGGCCTCGCTGAGTCTCCGAAACGCAGCTCGTGGCCACTCGGCGCTGGCAAAACGTCATCACGTCCACCTTGTGCAAGTCCTCCCTGCGGGATCAAAGAATGGGGCAAAGGAGGTGTTGGGGAGTGCAAAGCAGAGCGTCCTTAACAGCACTGGGGAGGGTTCCCAGGACCCTCTGAGTTACATGGAGGCCTCCAGAAATTCAAAGAGTGGTAGAAAAGCAGAGATACTCACTAGCGTATCAACAACACCTTCACAATTTCTCTAAACATGCAAGAAGGCTGCTCATCATTATTCCCATTTTGCAGGTGGCCAAGGCACACAGATTTAGAATGGATCTGAAATCCCTTCTTTGGGGCACCTCTAGCATTTCTAACCTGATCCAGATCAATCTATCTGCAGAGAACATCACAGTGGACTGGACTCTTAGCACCTCCTGTGCCACTCCACTAATACCGGCTCCTTCTATTGTGCATCTAGTCCTCCACCTTTCCACCCAGCCTCTCAGCTTGCTCAGTGATTTTGTATTTTTCGTTTTTCTCAGCTTTTCTCACGGGTGACCGAATGACACCTCAGTGTAACCAACGTGATGCTGAGCAAACCTGACTGCACACAAAGGGTCAAGTGACGATATTTCTCTGCACTCCCAAAAGTGAAACATCAGGGTTCAGTCCTGCAGCACGTGAGAGGACAGAAACTCCTGCTGGGCCAAGCTGCTGATGTTACAAAGACCGTGGATGTTCCACAAGCCCTTCTTGCAAGCCGGGTTTGCCTGGACTTGGCTACAGACTAAGAACCAAACTGTCAAACCAAGTCAAGCAAAGTTCTCTGAACGTTCCCAGTAGAGCAGGGGTTCCCAAACTTTTTGATACTGGGGACCAGTAAATCAATTCACAAGCTTTTGGAGGACCGGTAACATTTATTTGCATATTTGCATATTCATTAAGCAAATGACGAATATGCAAATAACTTGTTTCTGATCCTCCCAAAGCCCCCTGTGCCAACAGAAAAGTCAGTCGGGGCCACACAAGTGAGATACAAAAACACAACCCCTGCAGACCTCTCAAACCTCACTAATGTGGTCCCAACTGTGCTGGTGGGTGCTGGGGTAGGGTACTTGTGGGGGTCGCGGGCAGGAAAGGGGACAGGGACCGATACCTGGGGATCCTGTAGCTGCCAAGGCCCAGGAAGTGCGTGGGCTGCTCCCCCGTCCCCCAAACAGCAGCGCGGTACCTGACACGCTGGTCCGTTGCACGCCTGATGCCTCCCCCGAGCGCAGGAAGGCAGCTGGGGAACAAAGTTCCCAGCGCATGATGGACCGGCGTTTTAGGTATTGCGCTGGCTGTTGGGGCAGGGGAAAGAGCAGCCCATGCACTCCCGGGACCTGGCGCACAGCTGCAGAACTGCCCCTGACCCCAGAGGAAGCCCACACTACCTCCGTTGACACTGGGAGTTCAGCGCGGTGTTTATCTTGGGGGTTACGGGCAGCGAGGCGGGCTCTCTCAAAAATTGTTCTGAGGCCTAGTATTTTTTTCCTAAGGACCGGTACCGGCCACGGACCACAGTTTGGAAAACTCTGCAGTAGAGCAAACCCACAAATCCAAACAACCGCGGGGGGGTTTCTGAATCTGCACCTGAACTTTGCTGATGGTCCTTATCTCTACAGAGGGCCTAGCCAAACCCCCGGGATGAATATCCAATGGCTTTGGGGAGTTTGAAATATGAATCTGAATTACATGGGTTGGGCTCGTCTCTATTTCTGGGTTAGAATGTCCTCCTGTAAGGTCCAAGCTGTGCATGTCGTGACTGGAGAGAAGCTGTTTGCAGGACAGAAAGCAACGCTGCTCATAGGGGCGTGGTTTATTGTACTCCTCCAATGACACCGTACCTGACCAGAGGCCCTGGGAAGGTGCGCATCTCCTCCTGCTCTTTGGTGTCATAAAGGATTACCTAGGAGGCAAGAGCAAAGGCTATGACAGAGGCCCTGTCAGAAAGCTAACAGGCTTTGACAATAGCTTTACTAGTACCGGTGACGCTTTTCTCTAAGCCATCTTTGATCATCCAGTTGATCCACAGATCTCTAAGTAGCAATTGCCTTTTGCAATGGGATCTGGGTCCTACAACTGCAGCCCTTTAGGAGGGAGAAGGCTCGAGCTTAGGGGGGAAAAGAGGGGCAGATACTGTGGAACACAATCCATCTAAGATACTCATCTGACCTCCATCGCAGCAACATCGGAACACGTCACAATCCTTAATGTATTTATCCTCCAAGCACCCCCGCAAGGGAGGGCAGGACAATGACAACCCTAGCCCAGATGGGAAACTGAGGCACGGAGCAGCTGGGGGACTTGCCCACAGTCACACAGAAAGCCTGACCCCCGATCCCACAAGTCCCATGCTAGTCTCCTCGCCACCAGACCACGCTTCCTCAAAGTCCCGCCTGAGTTGTGAGTCCAAGGTCTCTGGCCTGAGAGGGCCAGTTGTCTGGACAACTACAGGGTACAAGAGCCATCCCAGGTCACTCCCCGAGGCACCCTGCCAATAAAAGCAACCTGGGCAGAACCTGGGACGGGGCCCAGATGCCTCATTCAAGGAACGGTAAGAACCACAACAGCCCTTCTCCTGGGTGAGACCCCTCTGTCTGCACTGCGGCCAAGGGCTCCAAAGCGGGCGTGTGTGATGGGAGGGCCCAAGGGGCAGTGCGGGTAGGCAATGGAAGGTTACGAGGAGTTGCAGGGAGGCATTCCGGGGCAGTGGGAGCGGGGGAGGGGAGGGTAGGAGGGATTCCGGGGCAGTGGGAGCGGGGGAGGGGAGGGTAGGAGGGATTCCGGGGCAGTGGGAGCGGGGGAGGGGAGGGTAGGAGGGATTCCGGGGCAGTGGGAGCGGGGGAGGGGAGGGTAGGAGGGATTCCGGGGCAGTGGGAGCGGGGGAGGGGAGGGTAGGAGGGATTCCGGGGCAGTGGGAGCGGGGGAGGGGAGGGTAGGAGGGATTCCGGGGCAGTGGGAGCGGGGGAGGGGAGGGTAGGAGGGATTCCGGGGCAGTGGGAGCGGGGGAGGGGAGGGTAGGAGGGATTCCGGGGCAGTGGGAGCGGGGGAGGGGAGGGTAGGAGGGATTCCGGGGCAGTGGGAGCGGGGGAGGGGAGGGTAGGAGGGATTCCGGGGCAGTGGGAGCGGGGGAGGGGAGGGTAGGAGGGATTCCGGGGCAGTGGGAGCGGGGGAGGGGAGGGTAGGAGGGATTCCGGGGCAGTGGGAGCGGGGGAGGGGAGGGTAGGAGGGATTCCGGGGCAGTGGGAGCGGGGGAGGGGAGGGTAGGAGGGATTCCGGGGCAGTGGGAGCGGGGGAGGGGAGGGTAGGAGGGATTCCGGGGCAGTGGGAGCGGGGGAGGGGAGGGTAGGAGGGATTCCGGGGCAGTGGGAGCGGGGGAGGGGAGGGTAGGAGGGATTCCGGGGCAGTGGGAGCGGGGGAGGGGAGGGTAGGAGGGATTCCGGGGCAGTGGGAGCGGGGGAGGGGAGGGTAGGAGGGATTCCGGGGCAGTGGGAGCGGGGGAGGGGAGGGTAGGAGGGATTCCGGGGCAGTGGGAGCGGGGGAGGGGAGGGTAGGAGGGATTCCGGGGCAGTGGGAGCGGGGGAGGGGAGGGTAGGAGGGATTCCGGGGCAGTGGGAGCGGGGGAGGGGAGGGTAGGAGGGATTCCGGGGCAGTGGGAGCGGGGGAGGGGAGGGTAGGAGGGATTCCGGGGCAGTGGGAGCGGGGGAGGGGAGGGTAGGAGGGATTCCGGGGCAGTGGGAGCGGGGGAGGGGAGGGTAGGAGGGATTCCGGGGCAGTGGGAGCGGGGGAGGGGAGGGTAGGAGGGATTCCGGGGCAGTGGGAGCGGGGGAGGGGAGGGTAGGAGGGATTCCGGGGCAGTGGGAGCGGGGGAGGGGAGGGTAGGAGGGATTCCGGGGCAGTGGGAGCGGGGGAGGGGAGGGTAGGAGGGATTCCGGGGCAGTGGGAGCGGGGGAGGGGAGGGTAGGAGGGATTCCGGGGCAGTGGGAGCGGGGGAGGGGAGGGTAGGAGGGATTCCGGGGCAGTGGGAGCGGGGGAGGGGAGGGTAGGAGGGATTCCGGGGCAGTGGGAGCGGGGGAGGGGAGGGTAGGAGGGATTCCGGGGCAGTGGGAGCGGGGGAGGGGAGGGTAGGAGGGATTCCGGGGCAGTGGGAGCGGGGGAGGGGAGGGTAGGAGGGATTCCGGGGCAGTGGGAGCGGGGGAGGGGAGGGTAGGAGGGATTCCGGGGCAGTGGGAGCGGGGGAGGGGAGGGTAGGAGGGATTCCGGGGCAGTGGGAGCGGGGGAGGGGAGGGTAGGAGGGATTCCGGGGCAGTGGGAGCGGGGGAGGGGAGGGTAGGAGGGATTCCGGGGCAGTGGGAGCGGGGGAGGGGAGGGTAGGAGGGATTCCGGGGCAGTGGGAGCGGGGGAGGGGAGGGTAGGAGGGATTCCGGGGCAGTGGGAGCGGGGGAGGGGAGGGTAGGAGGGATTCCGGGGCAGTGGGAGCGGGGGAGGGGAGGGTAGGAGGGATTCCGGGGCAGTGGGAGCGGGGGAGGGGAGGGTAGGAGGGATTCCGGGGCAGTGGGAGCGGGGGAGGGGAGGGTAGGAGGGATTCCGGGGCAGTGGGAGCGGGGGAGGGGAGGGTAGGAGGGATTCCGGGGCAGTGGGAGCGGGGGGAGGGAGGGTAGGAGGCATTCCGGGGCACGGATGAGCGGGGGATGGGAGGGTAGGAGGAGTTATGGGGCAGAGCGGGCAGGGGAAGGGCTGGCAGCTTTCAGTGTCCGGTGGCTGGGTGGTTGGTTACCTCTAGGCTGTGCATCTCGACGAGGGCGGGCTGCCCATCAGCAGGGGAGTTCGGGCAGACGCGGACCAGCTGGCCTCCTGCTCCAAAGCACACTGGCACGTGAGGGAGGGGATACTTCTGGGGCGCCACGTGGTGCGGGGTGGACTGCGAGTCTTCGTCTAAACAGCAACAAAGGCACAAACAAGCCCTTCCACAGCCGCCCAGCAGGCCTTGTTACCGCTGAGGGGGCAGGCACAGCTCCTAACCACACTTCCTGGCAGTACCAAGCGGGTACCACGCACTGTGCCAGGCTGACTTCAGGGAAACTGCCCTTCCCTGAGCTGACTGGAGTCCTTACCAAACCTAACGCTGGGTTGCAGATGCCCATCCATGGACGCTCCCGCCAGTCCTGCGGGGCCCCTCCCTGCCCAACCTACAGTACCCGGGCAAAGCCCAGCCTCACCCTGTACTTCCCACGTGCCGATTTCCAAGCATGTAATGGCCACTTTGATGCTTTGCAGGCTAACGTGTGAGGGCAAGCACCACATCCTCATCGCTGGGAGAGCCTCCGTGGGTGCCCGCCCTCACCACGCACGCCTGGTGCCCTTCGGCCAGACCCACCTGCTTGGACTGGACTCCAGGTCTGCGTGGGGTCTGCGTCGTACTGACCGGGAGAGTCACACATGTACTGGCTGAGTTCATAGCTGCTGGAGCTGAGGCCAGACTCCTTGTAGTGCACCAGCCGGCTGAGCTCTTGTGGGGCGGGGAGCTGAGGGAAAAGAGAAGCCGGCGCCGTGGGGACAGGGAAGCAGAGAAAATGGCGGCATGAGGGAGACAGATGGAGAGGGTGGGAGGGGAGACTGGCAAAGGGGTGGAAATGGAGCCGTAGCACAACACACACATTTTGCATGTATAGTGTGACAGCAGCCGGCTTGGCCAGGGCTGGCACTAGATTGGCACCTGCACAACTCACAGCTAGAGTCTCCCCAGCTTCAGCTAAACAGCCAAAGTCTCAAGCTAAGAGCTGTAACCGGCTTGTATCCTCTGGAGATTTGGCACAGGGGGACAGACATGGCCCCCACGGATGAGCAGGGTACAGCAGCACCTCATCTCCAATGATCTCAAGCACTTTAAGGTGTAAAGCTCTTTTAGTTGGTGCTCGAATCAACACCAGTTAGCTCCTCAGTTGGTGTAAATCACCATAGCTCCATTGGCCTCGGTGAAGCCACACCACTGGACACCAGCTGCAGCCCACTCCGATCTTATGCCTGCATTTTCTAGACATGCTGGGTCATCTGAGCATTTGCAGATGGGGTCTCCCGTCACTAATGCTCTGTCCTAGACAGCTGTCACAAGGAGCAGGTACATGTGCTGTTGGTGGGACATCCTGCCATGTGGGATGGGAAGGGACAAAAATGGAGATCCTAGAATAACAGAGGGTGGAGAGACCCAACATGACCACCAATGTTCCCTCTAATCTTTTCAATCCAGGTGTAGATGTTTTCCATCCATATGTGGAATAATTTTTTGTCTGTGCACCGAGGCATGCGTGAATGTGCACCACTAGCAGAAACGCAAAACCTAGCTCTGAGCACACTGCTAATCAGCTGGGAGGCATCTGAATCTCTCCTGAACAGCGGCACAAGCGTTCGGCTTACAGGGAACACTGGTGACCCGCCTTTTGGGCCAGGTGTAGGTGCAACAAAGATGGGCCCTGCCTCCTGATGCCCTAGGGGGTACAAATGACAGCTCAATCGCCCTTCTGTCAGGTTTCCACGCGAGGCGCTCATAGTTCTCTGCAAACAGTAAAGAACCAACATTGGGAGGGAGGGAAGTAACACCACCCGCATTTTGCAAACTGGGAAACTGAGGCACTGGGGGGTGCTTCACAGTCACAGGGCAACTTGGTAGTAGATCCAGGTGTGGGACTCAGTCCTCCTGATTGTCTGGTCCCTGTTCCAACAACACTGCCGCCTAGACGGGCTCGCAGACCGACAGACACGCTGCAAAATCTCCAGAGCAACCTCAGACCTCCGAGTCGTCTCCCTGTGGTTACCTCGTATGGCTGGAAACTGGCCTCCTCCACGCGGTGTCCCCAGGCTTCCTCCTCCGTCCGCTCCTGCCCGGCAATCGAGGTGTGCCCCTCCTCACGGGAGCCGTAGCCCTTTGAGCTGTGGGAGGGACACAGCACCAAGCCATGAGGGCAGATAGCTGAGAGCCCTCCCAGCCCCCAGAACCCGCTACCGAGGGCAGGCCCGCCAACACGGGGAGCAACGGGGGGCAGTGGCCCCAGGGCCTGGCAATTCAAGCAGGCCCAAAGCTCCCAGCTGCCTCTGCTGCTGCTGCAGCAATGGCCAAAGCCTCAGGCCCCTCTGAATTGCTGCTGGAGCACCTGGTGGCAGGACACATTGGCCACACCCCTTCGGCCTGAGGCCCCGCCTCTTCCAGGGCATGAAGCCTCCCCTCCTCCCCCCCTGCACCCCTTATCCTGGGGCCTGCGGTGGCTGTTGGCCTAGCTATCGAGCTGCAGTACTGATGCCAGGTGAAAAGCCAGTGGCATGTGTAGTGCTGGAAGATGGGGTGAAGCCCCCCTCTGTTTCTTCATGGGAAATGAGAAGCCACAGAACTGGCTCGCTAGAAGAGACTCCGTGCAAGAGGAAGAGCTGGGTACAAAGGGCTGGATTTTAAAGGCACGGAGGCCCCTAAAGAGACACACAGGCCCCTCATGGGTTTGGCTGCACCACTAGCTGCCGTAAGAGCTTTCTTCAATCTGGCCCTAAGCATCCGACGTCTTCCGGCTGCAATCACACAGGCCAAGCCGCTGAAACGCACGGCACTGTCATCGTTGCTTCCCGCGGGGTGTCCCTGCCCAGTGCTGCTTTTAATCCAGACCCCTGATCCAAAGCCCTTCGAAGTCAATGGGAGTTTTACCGTTGTCTCCAGTATGGACTGGATCAGGCCCTACGAACCCTAGAATACTAGCCCCATGCTAAACTGGCTACGCCCAGGGAGCCCTTTCTTCCCTGCCCGTGTCTTCGGGAGCTCGGTGGGGGGGAGCATGTGATGAGCAGCGCCAACAGCGATGCTGGGGGATCCCTGGCCACCCCAGATTTTACACACAAGAGAGGACGCCTTGGAAACTGACGGGCTATTGCTGGAGTGACCTAACAGTGACACTCTGACTACCATGACAAGATGCAGCAGAGCCACTGAGCCCTAAGTAGACACAGTAACACAAAACGGCTTGGCCAACGGAGCCGCCGGCGGCACAACTGAGACTGTACTTGGAAGGGTCGCTGCTCACTAGGCAAACCTCTCTGGGTTCATGGGGCTACCAGACTGGGCCATTCCGACCCAGTGCCTCCTGGCTGACAGCACAACCGGCCATCACCGGGGATGGCTCAGGCTTCGAAAGGGGACGCTGGAAATCTGCCTGCAAAGCTCACGCACAGGCATGAGGTTCTCCCCTTCCCATTCTAATCAACCTTACTGGTACTGGGCCGCATCATTCTGCCCAAATGGGCTGGTGTCCTGGTCATGCCGGGGGTCTCGGTAGTAGTTCTGATCCCAGTAATTCATGTGCTGGCCGTAAGGATCCTCCTGCCTTGGATCTGCGCACTCAGAAAGAAACACCATAAAGATCTAGTATTTGTCTCTGGTGCTGTTAGCGTTCATGACGTTTTTAAAGGGATGACATAGAGTCAGGGCTTGGCAGTGGCACGCCATTGCCTCCACATTTTTCTGACTAGTTAGTGCAATGATGTGTGTGTGTGTGTGTGTGTGTGTGTGTGTGTGTACGTACAATACACACCGAGAGGGAACAGTAAACCGGGGCGCCCTGGGGCACCACTCCAGCAAGAAGGAGCCAGCCAGCCGGGCAGGAATATGGGATGTGCCTGGAATGGGATTGCTTCCCATAAAAGCATAGAGAAAGACAGAATCACCAGCCAGGGGAAAGGGGCTGGCTGGGGGCGTGCTCTGCACCAGTCCGGGACTGCCCGAATCCTGAGCTCCCAGCGCTATTTAGGGAGGGCAGCAGGGCTAAAGCCCCATGTGGGCGCGCGCACACACACACACACACACACACACACCCAAGGCCCTGCCCTGATCCTCTCCTCACACCCTCCAATCCTGACTCCTGCACCCCTTCATCCCCACCACCTGCCCTGCACCCCCCACACCTCCAGCCCCTGCCCCGACTCCTGCACCCCTCCACACACCCCAACCCTCTGCCCTGAACCCTCCTCACATACCCCACGCCTGACTCCTACACTCTCACAGTCCCAGCCTCCTGGCCTGAGCCCCCTGCACTCTCCAGCCCTTTCCCTGACTCCTGCCCCCCCACATCCCCACTCCCTGCTCTAAGCCACCCCTCCCCACCCCCTGACACTCCCCACCTCCTGCCTTGAGCTCCCTACACTCCACCCTACATTTTAATTTCTTACGGGTACAATCGTATCGCAACCCCTCCCCAAACTCCTGCCCCGAGGGCCGTCTCGGGAGAGGGGTGCGATAGGACAGTACCTGTAAGAAATAAAGTTGCTTTCACCCCTGCACACAGCTCTAAATCACAGGCGCCGTATCAACAGGCACCCCTTCCTTCCTTCACACTTCCATTAGCTCAGAAATGGCATCGACCTGCTAGCTCTGATCAAGTGGTAACAGCATTCTCCTCCAATGCCTGGTACCAGTCATAACCTGGTCCTTCACCTGCTACCTGGAGCTCCACTGCTTGGGGATGCCACTGAACTGAAAACCCAACTCAGTGTTTGCAACACGGCAGCGGGGGCTGGGCATGAAGGCAATGAACTCAGCTCCTCGGGAAGGAGAGGATACCTCAGGCTGCTCTTTGGAAAGTGAAGAGCTGGTTCTGGGGCCGTTCTCCTCTTCGGAGAGGACTGGCCGCCGTCACAGAGAGGCATTAGGTATGTCAGAGAAGGGACACATCGTGCAGGGCTAATGCTAAAGGCACTGTCAGGAACTGCCAACACACTAGCTCATTACGCTGGCCAGGCCAGCAAGAAACAGCAGGCAAAGTCGCTTTTGCTCCCTAGTACCAGTACCTCTGTCATGCTGCAGTACTTGGAGGGGTCTGTGATAACCTCTGTAAGCGTGGTCGTCCCCAGAGCTTGGTGATGGGTAGCTCCAGTAGGGGTCCCCGTAGCCCTGCCTGAAACGAATCCCAAATACACAGAACATATAACCAAATAACTAAAATGATGAGGGGGCTGGAGCATATGACTTATGAGGAGAGGCTGAGGGACTTGGGTCTGTTTAGTCTGCAAAACAGAAGAGTGAAGGGGGATTTGAGAGCAGCCTTCAACTTCCTGAAGGGAGCTTCCAAAGAGGATGGAGAGAGGCTGTTCTCAGTAGTGACAGATGGCAGGACAAGGAGCAATGGTCTCAAGTTGTGGTGGGAGAGGTCCAGGTTGGATATTGGGAAAAACTATTTCCCTAGGAGGGTGGTGAAGCACTGGAATGGGTTCCCTAGGGAAGTAGTGGAGTCTCCATCCCTAGAGGTGTTTCAGTCTCGGCTTGACAAAGCCCTGGCTGGGTTGAATTAGTTGGGATTGGTCCTGCCTAGAGCAGGGGGCTGGACTTGACCTTCTGAGGTCTCTTCCAGCTCTACGATTCTATGATTCTATGAACACGGAGGGTGGAGAACCCAAAAGGAGAGCAAGAGAAAGGAATCCCCATCAGAACCGGATTGGCATTGGGCAGTTCCCACACCCTCAGAGCTAGATCCAATCCAAGGATTGGGAGACTAGTCCTGCATCAGATCTAGAACTAGGGTCAGGACACCAGATCCCATCCAGGGTCAGTTCCACAGTGAAACGCCAGCTTAGGGACTCATCTTGGTCTCAGATCTTTGGAACTCCCCTGTGAAACAAGACTAATAAATTAAAGACCACAGTGTCATTAGCCCACGGCTGCAGGGCCACGGCCACGGCTAATGTCAAGGGGAGAGGTTAAGGCGACTGTTGTGAAGCCCAGAGCAAGAGCGAGAGGTTTGGAGTCAGACTCCCTACACCGCCTGTTCTTAACACACGGAGCATCACCGTCCAAGCCACTGAAGCGCTTTGGTGGAATTCCGGCACCATGTGATTAGGCACCCCTGGAATATCCCTGGGAGTTTGGTTGGAGGGACCCACCCTCATGAGAAGTTTAGGAGATTTTGGGAAAAGAGCCTCCTTCCTGCATAGTTGGACTCCCTTCTCTGCTAAATCCCCAAAGTCCTCCCTCATCCTATTCCAGTTCACTCGCAGCCCTTAGCAGAGCATTGCACAAGCTTCATGAAAAACCACTGCAAAGTGAACTTCCCAGGTATAACCTGCAATTTTCAAATGTCCATAGTTTGGCCAAATCAAAATCTGTATGTAGCAGGACACCGAAAGCCACTTCTCAATAAAGGGTGTGGCTGCCCCAAATTTTATCCTCCTTCCCGTAGCCGAGTTAACACGGCTGCAATAATTTTTATTACCTTAGTCTTTCTATTTTTAGCACTCTACCCCACTCAAAAAGCTGGATTACATTTGCTCTGGTTTTCCAAAGAAATTTACAGTTGGATAGAGGTGAAGCCTGGAAAATGAAAGTTTTATAAAATGATGCATGACCATAAGGAGGAGATTAGAATGGAAATGGTTACCCAACCTTCAATAAAGCAGCCGCAGCAGCTCCTGTTTTAATAACAGGGCTATCTATGAGGTGCGGAGGGATAAGACGCCATAGAGAACAGTTTGATGCATAGGGTTAGTTAATTATATTCAGGTCTTACCTTGAATATGGTCTAGCGAGATAACTTTTTTCATAATTCTCCGCCCTGAGGTCTGGTCTGATCTGATCTCCTGCCCTGCCAGGATAGCCGGGGGGGCAGTACCCCATCCGTGGGTCTTGCCACAATGGAGGTACTATTTGGAGGTCTTGTTGCTGGTGGTAATACCTCTCCCCATTATGCCTAGACTGGGGTCGAGGTCGGTAGAAGCCTTCTCCCCATTGCACCCTATCCTGGCTCTCCATCTGGGCTACATGCCTCCCCCGTGGTTGGGGCTGCCAGGGGGGCCCCCAAGGGTCCATCTGGGTCTTGAGTTCCTCCTCCTTGATTCGGTTTCTCGTAGTCCCAAAATGTCTGTAGCTTCCTGCAAACAAAGGGATACATCCCAGGGTATTAAATCCAAACCCGCTCAAAGTCAGCCCACAAAGTGCATTGCCACGTTTCCAATACCCATCAGCCTTGTTGGAAGTTAACATCCCTTTGACTCCTTCCAAGATGCTAGTGACGGGGACATGGAAAAATATAATTGTTCAGTCACCCGCCGTGGCAAGTTAAAAGCTTTCCCTGGCAAAAAAAAAATTGCAGAATTTAATTTCCCATTTAAAAAACGCCAACATGTTTCTCGTCTTTCTGGTTGCAAAGAGAACCTTCCAAATATGAGCTGTCTTCCTGAGTCTGCACGCAGCTCTGGGGACTCGCTTGCTGCGCATAGCTTTCCATATGCAGAAATTAACCAAATTGCTCGGTCACTTACAACGCAGTAGGCTGCAGTGACACCGGGAAAACACAATGCTGCTGCTGCCGATGGCTGGGGAAACCATGAAGAGCAGCAAAAGCCGCTACTGCCATTCATTTCGTAAAATGGGGGGGGGGTAAAAACAAGGGGAAATATAGAGTCACTCAACCTCTGCCTCATAGCAGCCAGGAGTCTGGAACGTCAAAAGGGGACAGGAAGCTCCCTCTGCTTTTCGGGAGCTGGAGGAGTGTGGTTTCAAATGCATTAAATGTCTATGCGCCAAGATGATACAAAAGAGAGGCCAAGGAAGGAGCTGGGGATAGGAGCTGGGAGAAACCCCAGCATCTTCCGCCACTGGCAGGCAGAACCCCGGAAACCCATCCCTCCTGCTGTCAGGAACACTTTCAACTAGTAGAATTAGTCCTATGAGCAGTAGGTATCTGACACGTTGTTCAGGTTTTGACAGGTGAAACTTGTGCTGGGAGGAGAGGGAGACAAACCAGCCTTGCAAATACAAATAGCTTAAGCAGCGCGTTTCCCACAACCCCAAAATAGCAAGTACGTTATACGGGAGGATATTCCAGAGCGGATTTCAGAACCCCCTCCTGGGTCACTATATAGTCCTGACTGGGTACCAGCTCTCAGGGATAATCCAAGATCCACAGCCTGGCCTAAAATAGTGACCCGACCTCCCCACGGCTGGAGTTTGTTTGCCAGCAGCACCACTGGCCGGGAGAAGTTGGTAGCAACAAAGTTTTAGTCTGCCCTTGGCTCTTGGCCCCCTTTGATGCCTGGTGTAACTGCAAAAATCCTGCTCGAGCCAACGGCATGGAAGTCATATAGAGGAGGCAATGAAGCCAGTGTGGCAAATCCCACCAGCAGAGTCAGACCGCAGTAGGAACGTTCCTAGAGAGCAGCAGGGTGCGCGGAGAGGCCCACCCCTCTGTTACAGCAAATGCCCCAGACCTGTCCCTAGCCACAAAACCTGGACCCAGATCTGGATTGCAGGGGGGCTCAGAAGAGGGGGGGGGTGTATCGAATTATAAAGGGTAAGAGGTGCCCCGCTCCCTGTGCAGCAACTCTGGGGCACGTGGAACCAGGGCGTGCCCCCAATTTGTTTTTAAAAGCCCTCTGCCTCCTCCCGCCCACCTTTCCCGCAACTGTTCTATGCAAGTCTAAGGGTCAACACTCACAATTCGCAGCAGCGTGATCTCAACTAGAGACACCCCCCTACACACACACACACACACACACACACACACACACACACACACCTGCCACATGAGGTATAAAGGGCTGGACTGAGCAGCTTTCTAGAGCACACAATCGTGTGTGTGTGTCGGTCTATTCCAAGGACATGTCACGCCACAGCCCAGAACTAGGAGCACCGGGGATTGATTTCTCAGGTGCCGCAAGATAACAAGCACCCGGAGAAAGCACAACAAGCAGCAAAATGTCCATCTGCCTCCACACACCTGTTCAAACGCGACCACCTGCGGCAGCTTTGCAGACCTGGCCTGAGCTCTCTCCGTCCCCAAAGGCAGCTGTCAAAGTCCACCTGCCACATCGGCTGATGCCTGCCTGACCCTCGGCCTGCCTCCACTCTGCCGGCTCTTTGCTGCTCCCGAGACGTCCCCCCGCAGCTGACGAAGCAGGACAAAGTGCAGGCGGCTCACCTGCCTCAGGACAAACTCTTCCGTGGCTCTTTTCTCTGCACTTGTCAAGCACTTGTGCTTGAGTTTATTCCGGCTTCGGGAGATGTTAAGATGTAGGCAGCCTGGGACATGTGGAATTTAAAATCACAACAGCCAAAGGAGAGAGGAGACCTTCCCTTGGTAACTTATTAACCGGTTATCTCCTTCCCTTACAATACAAGTGGAACAACTGTCCTTTTTCTTCTCATTTGTTCCTGTCTTCTTATTGGTCAGGGGTCCACCATGCACCTTACTAAGTCCAAAAAATACAGATCTTTCCCCTTTATTACTAGTAACACAGTGGCTCTACTCTGTTCTACTTATGGTCTTATACCACAGTGCTTCTCAATCAGGGGTACTCGAGAGAAGTCTGGGGAGTACGTCAACACAACTGAAATTTGGAGAAAACTGAATTTTTGTTTTAAGCTTTACAGCGCTTTGTTATTTTTGTCCTTTTTACACCCAAAAATTTCATTGCCCGCCCGGCTACAATTAAGTTATTTAAACAAATGTGTTGCGATGGTAGAAAAAAAATTGCGTGTCTGAAAACTGTAGGTACTGGGGGTACTTATACATTTTTTTTTTTATAAATAAAGGTTGAGAAACACTGTTATACCATACTCATAGTACTTGATCTTATCATGCAGCTAACAAGCCTCCTGATAACTAAATGAAATTTGCTATTTAATCTTCTTAGTTAATTTGCTATTAACTGTGGATGAATATAATTCTAGCAAATATAACCCCACATGCCCCAATCATGTTTGATTGTTCCATCATCTCAAATTACTGAATGACCTGGAGGTTCCAGGTCTCAGCAGAGACTTTATTGAAAATCTCAGGAAAGCTTCTTTTCCTGCAGTGTACAACTGGCAGGGACCCTTGGGTCTCAAACCCCAGTCCACAGGGCTCCCCAGAGCCCGTAAATATTGACCCGCCATCAGCTGCTAGGCCTACCAGGTAGACAGACTGTTCCACTGACTCTGCTGCTGCTCTGGCAGAATATAATTGACAAGTTGCTAGTCGATTTCACAGCTGCTGTTCAAAACTCTGTGCAGTCCTGAAACTGACACTCATATCAGTTTCACATTTCTCTTGCCCATCAGAAAGCTGTAAGCTATAGCAGAAGCAGTCATGCTATTACTCCTGTACATAACTTTTCAATTTACTATCACTTGTTTTTTTCTGTTAGTTTCTGGCTAGTAAGTTTACACCTCTTTCTAGCAGGCCGCTGATGCAGATCTTAAAAGCATATCAGGGCATAATTTATATGGGGGATCTTAACGTTCTTGATCACATCCAAAAGAGCAGAATCTTTAGAAAGGGGCATAATTTCCCAGACTGGAGTCCTCCACTAACATAGCTAAGGACAGTGTGTGCTGCGAGGAAAAAGCCACAGTTTAAATTGACAGATAAACTCCGGTCATCTGAAGAAGTGGGACGTGCCCACAAAAGCTCATGATACCATCGACATGTTTTGTTAGTCTATAAAGTGCTACCAGACCATTTGTTGTTTTTTAAGTTTATCCTGTACAGACTAACTCAGCTCCCCCATGAAGCACTTTAAGTTGTGTAAAGCAGAAGTCATCATGGATGTTATTTATGTCTAAGAGGAGTTATACTCAGACTGTGCAAGGAAAGAAGACATGGGGAGACTCTGGCAGGCCAAGCACATAAAGTTTCAAGCAAGAGCAACCTAAACCAGACAGCTTCAAAAAACATCAATTAGGAAAGACAGGAAGAACAAGAGAACAGTTGGAGAACAGATGAACGAGGAACGAAGAGACAGAGATGGAAGAAACAAGGGGTCATTATCTTTCTACTGAAGGATTCTCAAAAAAGAAAACACAACATAAAATATGGATAGGTAACCTTTTAACTACATTTCTGTCCATTAACAAGTGATATTTTGAGAAACTTAACACTTTCCAAGCAAAGCAAAAGGAACAAGATCTTAGAAATCACATTTCTCTGCTAAATTTTAACCACCATTATTTTGGTAAGATTAGGTAGAAAATAGTTTCCTCTATTTTTTTCAGTTTGCTTGCTTTGTGCATTTGACAGCACTTGGCTTATAGCCAGTGCATCTACATCCCAGAGCGTCAATCACTCTCCCCCATGTTTGTGTAAGTCCTCCGCAAAAAAATAAAATAAAAAAAAATAGAACTTATTATTGTAAAATCTCATAAATTGTCAGGGGATATCTGTGGGAAATGTATTGCCCAGAACTACTTTTAGCTCCTTTTTGTTAAAACTTACTTCCACTTTGACTGTGTACTTTTAAATGACAGGCCAATAGAATAAAAACAATAGAATCAGAGTAGTGAGAGGTGAAAAAGCTCTAGTCCCTTTAAAGTGAATCCTATACATTGTCTTTCAGGCAGCACAAATAATCTAGTGCAGGGGTTCCCAACCTGGGGTATGCCTACCCCCAGGGGGTACAAGAAGCTTGTCAAAGGGGTACGGGGAATATTTGGTAAATAACTAGATTATCCTAATTAAAATATTCCAAAAGTAGTAGTGTTAGTGAAAAAAAGTTGTGGATTCTAGAGTCTAGAATTTATTTCCTTTATATTGAATATGGGGTATGGGAAGATTTACTAAAAGCCAAGGGGGTATGGCGACCAAAAAAGGTTGGGAACCCCGATCTAGTGTCTTTGTCCAAGCTGAAAAAAACAAAAAGTAAGCAAGCAGCACAATGTGTGAAAATTAATTGTAAAACTTTGTGGTTGCAATAATCCTGGATTCATGGATTTCAAGGCCAGAAGGGATCACTCTGAGGGTCTAGTCTGATTTGCATAGCACAGGCTGTCGAACATCACCCAGTAATTCCTGCATTGCGTCTTTTGAACATTATGCAAGACACAGGCTGACATAGGCAAAACAGGACTATAGGGGTATGTCTAGACTACATGCCTCTGGCGACAGAGGTGTGTAGATTAGGCTACCCGGCATTGGAAAATGAAGCGGCGATTTAAATAATTGCCGCTTCATTTAAATTTACATGGCTGCCGCGCTGTGCTGATCAGCTGCTTGTCGGCGCAGCACGCTAGTCTGGACGCTCCGCAGTCGACATCAAAGGCATTTGTCGACCTCCCCGGTATGCCTCGTGGGATGAGGTGCCCCCTTGTTGCTGCTGAGAGCCCTTAACTCCAGTTAATGTCAAGGCTTTATATCCATTCCAATGTCCTAGACTGGCTTTTATACAGGACAAAATATAAAACAAATAACCCTGCGGCACTGCCCCTGGAAACAGCTGGAAAGTCTTCCCGTGCATTCTCCAGCAGCAGCATAGCGCCTCTGTGGGGATCCGCTCCAGGAGTTGATTTGTCATTTCTTGGCAGGCCCTTTCCCAGTTCCACTCAGATCCTTTGTGCGTCTAAATGTTTAAGTCTCCCTAACCTTCGTGCACCCAGTCCTACCATCTCCAACCACTGGGATTTGCCACTCTCATCCCTGAAATATGCACCGGGATATTGCATAGTATCAGTAACTGCCTGGAATGGACCACTGGTGATTTTAAGGAAAGTTAAATGAGATGCAAGCAGGGCCAGGCTGTGGCATTTCCCATGCCGCAAATGAAGCAAAAGGCATTCTACATCCTGCTCCAAATAAAGACACGGGTTTGTTAAAACCAAAGAGTGTTTCTATGAGGATTATAAAGTTCTCAGTTTGGCTCAAGTGGTTCCTTACAATCCTGCAAGTTCCCCCACCCCTGAGCTCCATTCCCCCTTCACCAAATCCCATCATTCTCTCCCCGCCCTGGATAGTGAAATTAAGTAGTTACTTACACCACCTACCCCTAAAGCAAAGGCTGGGCTGCTGCATCCCATCCTGACAGGCGCGCTAGCAAGGATGCTCCCACACACACAGAGCCTCTGCCACGTCAGCTGCCCGGAATCTTGGTACGGAAGCTATTGTTGCCGGTCGGAACTGTTAGCTCGGCGCACCCATGCAAAGAGAGCCGCCAGAAGGGCGTTCCAGCACCTGAATTCCGCCATATTGAGAAGGTCATTGTGGGGCAAGAAGGTCGCTCAAGGGTAGCAATGTGGATTTTCTGTGCAACGCCTGTAATGTTCCTCCTTTGTCTTGCCAGCCAAAATTAGCGCTCTCTGAGCCGTGCAGAGATTATTAGGGTTGCAGATGCCATCAGTGGCATTTAAAATGGGGACAGACAGAAGAGCTAATCCCCAATAGCTGGTTCTGTTGCCAGCTGGTCTGGCGTGCAATGTTGCACACTTAATAGTGTAAATTAACACGTGCCAACTGTAGGAATAGTCCAGGGGCAAACTGGCCCGTGTATGACAGTGTCGGCCACTTGCAGACCGGACCAGAGAAACGTAATTTAGAACATGTTTAGCAGCACTAAAAATGTTTAAAAAAATATTTTCAGTGCTATATAGTTGGTTCTTATGTATAATACTGTATTGAAAATACATGACAAAGGTATATGATTTGTGTGCACGTTATTAAGATAGTATAATACATTTGATTTATATAGCTACCGGGTGACTATATTTCCTTATGCTGAGTATGGGACACCTCAGAAAACGACTCATATTCAAGCAAGTTCAATGGCAATCAGAATTAGGCCATAAAATATTCAAATTAACATTAAGCTGACTTGACTGACCCCCATTAAAAACGGAAGACTGCATAGGCAGAGTCCTTTTATTTACTTTGTATTTAAGGCTTTAGGGTTCACATGGTGAGGGGTGATACACACACCGTGGCCCTATCCTCCTCTTTCCCCTCCCCCCCACACACAAGGGGAGGGGTGACACGCACACATACACATGTGGGGAGGGGGGAAATGAATGACCAGCTGACCCTCCCTGCCCAGCACTCTCCTCCCTCCATGATGGACCCACCTCACCTGGTACCTGGTGCTACAGATTCCCAAGGCAACAGGTGGGAAGGAGGGGACATTTGTGGTCACATATGCCTACAGATTTCTTCTAGGGATCATACCAGAACGTGCTCCCTAGTAGTTGGGTGGATGGTGGGTGACCACATGGTTTGGGGAGGCATGCCCCCACCAGAGCCTAGCCTCCCCGGAGAATGGGATGTGCCTGGAATGGGACTACATCTCATTAAAAAAAAACAGAAAAGAGGCAGAATCACCAGGCAGGTGAAAGGGGCTGATTGGGGGAGATATGCCCCCATCTGGGCAGGGGTATTCATGGGAGAGGGGAGAGGACAGGGGGGCTGAAAAGCCCTCCAGCCTCAAGCCTTGGAAACCCTCTCCCTCCCCCCAGATTAATACAGGGATGTTGCTGGCTGTTCCCCTTTGCCAGGGAACAAGGGGAAAGTGCACAGTTTGCTGCATCCCTCACTCTGGCTGGGGAGCACAGGGGGCAGATGATCTGTGCACTTTGCTT